TCTTACAGAATTGAATAATCCTGAAGGAGTCGTTGCCGATCAGTTGGGTACTGTCTATGTTGCTGATTCAGGAAATGATCGAATTATGCGTTGGCCAAAAGGAGCCAAACAAGGAAGTGTGATTGCTGGTGGAAATGGTCAAGGACGACAATCAAATCAATTATTTTATCCCCATGGGTTATCATTTGATCGACAAGGCAATATCTATGTTGTCGATCACTTCAATCATCGAGTGCAAAAATTTGATATCGAACAAACAACAAATTAATGCTGTTTATTTCTTTATTTTTGTGCTGGAAAATGATTTGCATTGAATAAAAGGATATTTATTCCCGCTCACTCAAAAAAAATATATTAAATATTCATGCACGCGACCAAAAGGTCGTCCCTGGTGGTGGGAGCAGTGCCCGCCAGGTCCTACATGAACAGGACAAGATCTCACACATATGCATGAATGAATATCGTTTAGGCTCGAGACAGAGGGCGTGGGTGAGTGAAGAGAAAACCCACACCCCACCCAACTATGAAGTTTCTCGTAACATCTTCATTTCATAAAAGTAGCAATGAGGCTCAACGACACTAAATATGAAGACTTATGCAAAAGAAAACACGTTTTCGTCAGTTTTTCAGTTTGCATAAGTGTTGCCACATTCTGGAGAAAAGAATCCTTTTACCTTTTAAAGATAGAAAATTTATGTCATTATATTTTTTCATTTCAAGCATCACAACCATACGTTACTATTATGCATCTCATGATGTTTTCATTATTTTTCTGCTGTTGAAAATAATCATTGTGATTCTTTTTTTGTCTGTTGACACGGCCTGTAGGCATCTCACTGAAGTGATGAAAGAATGAATGTTGTTCATAAACAAAAAACTTGCTTTTGTTTACCTTCGACACAGCTTCTTTTCTTCCGTTCTTCTTGTGCAAGAAGAAAACGTCGATGCCTGCATGCACACGCGACTTTCTAGAATACGAGAATATTATTTTGATCCAAATTTGTCAACTATTCGACCATTAAATACTAGAGCATGTCGACGATCACCGTATCGAAAAGAAAGTGTGCAAAGCAGTACAGCACCATATTCATATTATCTACCAACGCACAAAGCGAATGATTCTATTTAATATGTGAAAAAAAGTCAATCGTATTAAAAAGAAGCTTTGAGCACAATTGCTGCGGGATTGAAATGTAAAACACGATGTTTCTTTTATGCGTAATAGCCAGGAAACTGTTTCACTTCATCTGTTTTGCGATACACTAGTTCACAACTCGTTACTTAATTCTCTACAACTAATATAAAGAAGTACTTCATGAATTCGAATGAGGTCTTATTGTTATGCCGTCTTCAATCGTATATCAATAACGTGTTTTACAGTCTGCATTGGTCTCTAATACCGTCGGTCACGGTCTATCGGGAGGAGAAGGGTGCAAATTTCTATCCCATAAACTTCAACACTCCTTTCAGATCGTCTCTCACAAAAACAAGGATAAGAACGACACTTCTTGAAATATAAAATAATTTCAGTTGCAGCCGCATTAGAAGGTCATGTAAAAAGTAGTGATATCTCACGGCATTACCTGTAACTTTAGAAACATGGATAGAAAAGAAAAAACCCGAATTTAGAGCCGATCCTGGTTTGGTCTATATAGAAAATATAAAGTTTTCTATTTTGAATGAGTTCATCCATTCTCACATTCCTCAACAGTGCCCTTTGGATACTTTTCTTGCCAAAGAAAACGTTCCAATGTCTCCGTTGTAGTTTTAGTTTATCAATGGCTTTTAGATAGTAACGTTATGTAGAAAAGATTCGTTGTGTATGATTATTCTAGTCGCTCGATAGCAAAACACAAAAGAACGGTTGTCATCTTGGCATTTTCTTGCATTCTTTGGTGATGTACACCCTAGAGAATACACTGAGTTAAGGGTACCCAAAAAAGTACCCTGATACCAGTATGTCACAGGAACTTTTGGGTACCAAAGTACTTGCAAGTACTTACAGGTACCTAAGTGGTACTTTGGCAAGTACCCTGCTAGAAAATGCACAGTAATTGGGTACCTAAAGGTACTGATCAAGTACTGAATTGGGTACCATTGTATAGTATTTCTAAGTACCCTGTTACCAAATTTTCAGTATGTTCAGGATCGAACCTGATCTTTGACTTTTTAAAATTTTTTCTTTTTCTTGAGATAATTTACTAGATTTTTTTTACTTTATTCAATTTAATTTTTTCAATTCCAAAAACTTAGCAGGAACAATGTCGGGATCCGACTCAACTTGAGTTGGTCGTAGACCACTTCAGGGTAGTCCGATCTCAATTTACGACCAAGCTCGGCATTTCTTCAACTAAGAAATAGTCAAGAAATAATTTAGAAAAAACTAGTATGAAAATTGATTATTTTCTTATGATTTATCGAGTTGTTTATATAGAGCCGTACGTAAAAAAGAAAACGGTGAATGAATAGTCGCCACACAGAACGCGAAAAATTTAGGATACCCTGTCGAGATTTCCTCAGTAAAGTTACAGTCTTGTGTATCCATGCAGGTACTTATTCAGTGAATGTACTTTTACGGGTACCTCAAACAGTACATACATCAGTAAAATTACTGAGAATTTTCAAAGTACCCATATTGGGTACCCTGCCAGAGCTTTCTCAGTACATGGGTACGCTGAACTCAGTACTTTCTCTAGGGCAGGATGAAATTTTATCCAATAAAAAAGACTTCTTTCAATCACTATAGAAAACTCAACAATCGAACGTTTGGCTTTTTCCAACGTAATCAAATCAATATTTTTCAATGAGTTGAAACACTCGATGGCTAAGTGTTTATTTTTTTTCATATATTATGCTTTTTTTTTACCTGAGGGTTTTATATAGTCCCTGAGGAGCAAATAAAATAGGCTATTTTCGAGAATATAAGACATAATACTTCTTTTTTTAAACATTTTGGCTGATGTACCTGGCGAAAAACTTTCTACGCTCTCACTCTCGCTCTCAGATTTCAATGGAATTTTTTTTGAAAGACGAATATAGCTATTCAATACAATATTTCACTTCCTAGTCTTTTCATTCTTTCTTCCTTTATTAAATTGAAAAACACAAGTTGGAATAAACCGACATCCACACTATATAAGACAGAATAGTTTTCGCTTTTTCATATTCACAGTAAAACTTTTTATCGATCCTACAATCGTATTTTCTATACGAAACCAAAGTTCTTGTTATATTTATCTGTATTACTTTTAGAAAACCAACATTTTACCCTAATACAACTGTAGTAGTGCAACGATTAAGATAATTTTACAGTGTAGTTACGAAAAATGGTAAAAAAAAACGATGCTGTTCTTGTAACAGGTTTGTACAACATTTTGTAAGCAACTTAATACTTAAATACATATTTATTTGTACTCTATAGCAATAAATTATTATGAACTTGGTGAAAAGTATCAACGACAAAATCAGAAAGGAAGGGCATTGATATTCTTTTGTAAATCGTTCAAATTAAAAAGCAAGATTTATGAACGATTCGACGACGAGGACCTACTCAAAACATTTTCCAAAATAGGTATACCGACCTTTCTTTCTCTCTACACAAACTTGAAAACCAAAGTCGTTTGTTCTTTTTAGATGAAACATTGACATCTGTAAAAGAGATTCAACAGTATCTGTATTCGAAAGAAACATTATCAATTGATCGTGATCGGTTCATTGCTTACTATTGTTCAAATATTGGATTGACTGCCTTTAAGAAAGAAAACTATTCACTGGCTAAAAAATGTTTTACGACAGCACTTGAAATGTATCAACGTCTATCTGAGAATGTTGAAACTATAAAACTTATAGCAAAATATCTGGAAGAAAGTAATCACAAGCTGCAGCCATCTTTGGAAAAGTGTATGTATTTTATTCTTCTTTTTTTCAAGCACAATATATTCAACAAATACTGATCTTTATTCAAGGCTCGGAAACTGTTTTTCAGTCATTTGGCTCATGCAGTACTACATTCAGATGGAACGCAACGTCTTCCTATGCTTTGGGCTTGCTCTGGCGGAAGTCTCTGCTTTTCGAAAACAATTCTGTATTGACCTTTCCCAAGATTCAATATAGCCCTGTCAAAAAAATAACACAACCTGAAAAGCCGGTTCCATATGATCACGAATATGGTCTTGAATTATCTAAGAGTAAGGGTGTGAAAGACGCTAAAATACATAGGCGATGAATAGATTGAGAGATCAATCTTTATCATGAAATCTAGACATATAAGGGCGAACGCTTATATGTTTGTCTCCGATTCAAAGATCAAAGGTGAAGACCTAAGGATAAAGATTACGGGAAAACAGTAGTGTGGTTTGTACTGGAACCTTCTGGTATCTATTATAATCTTAACAAAAGATATTATTTTCTTCAGAGTCTAATAGAAAGTAGTATAAAGAAATTTATATACAATCGATTTTTCCTCTGTTGATTTAAATGCAGACCACTTATGGTTATCTTTTTCTCATTAAAATCGATATTCGATGAAAACAAGGATCCCATTAGAAGATTAAGTATATCTCAGTTCAAACAAGTAATAACGACAAAAGTTGATACTACTGAGAGAAAGTTATATCATAGCATGAAAATGTCCCTTGCAATAGGCATACAAAGAGGCTTTTCTTTTAAAATAACGCTAGATATGGGTTTTGTGTGTTGATCCACACCGACATCTATGGGATTCTACACTGATTTTCTTATGAACTTGTAGGCTGTAGATTGAACTTGAAATCTATCAGTACTAGTTCTCGATTTTAAAGGTTTTGGGGTGATAGCGGCGAATGAAAATACGTATTTTATTGACAATCTCGAATTTGACCCGAACATTATCGCAGAATATAATTTTCAGTCCAGCTGAAATTGCCAAGGAAAATAGACCTATACGAACCCTATATACAATGACAAACTCAGATTACTCTCTTCAGCCAGTTACGAGATATGAAATATAAAACTTTACCATATTACTGCACTCCGGCCATGTCAGGCGATCCTATAGAATATCAAGCATTCAATAGCATGCGCTAGTAATTTTTTTGCAGATAGAAATAACCGATGCATCGATCCACATAAAATATCAAGTCGATCAGTTCAACCGTTTTAATGATGTCAAGCTTGTAGTGTCCTCTACTTTATGAGTCAGCATTTCCGGAACTTTCCTTAGAAAACTCATGAAAAACTGTAGACTTGATATTTTTGAAAACTATTTGTGTAAAAAGTCACAAAACTGTAGTCATTTTTACATATTTTGAATCCAGCCAGACCTAAGAACATAATTTGAACGCATTCTCTAGCTATTCGGGAGTTCGTTCGGCGTATACATGCCTGTGACAAAATCTTGAAGTACTTGTTGGGTAAATTGTTGGGTAAACAACTTAAAATTCAAACTGAAAATGACTTTCGTCGAGTTATATTCGGTAATTCGGCTCGTGACTACCAACTGGACTTTGATATATTAAATAGTTTTATGAAAAACTACAAGTGCAAACGACGTCCAAAATATCTAATGGTTCAAAGATATCACAATAATACTCATCGAATAGTGGACTATTTGCTTTTACTCGATCTTTTGTTTCGTACGTCACCCGACAGCCAATCGAAAATATCAATGTGCCAAGAATTGTGTTATTACTTGTTCATGGATCACTTTAAGGAGTCAGAATGTTTTTGCACTATTTATCCTTCTAAAACCTCCGTAGAATGGTACCGTGGTGATTCTGGTATATGTCGCATTCTAAATGAAGCGCTTCGATTAAAAAATTATGCACGAATTTATAATCTTCGCCATTTTCTAATCGATCTTTATCAAGAGTTGCAAGAAATGCATAAACGACAAAAACCTGACGACGAGGATTCTTTGGTATTAAGACGTTATCGTGGTCAGAAAATGTATCGAAATGAAGTGAATTGTTTGATTAACAATGTTACTGGATTGGTTTTCAATAACAGTTTTTTTTCTACCACCTCCAATCAGAAAGTGGCTCTTACATATGCAGCAGCTGAATTTAACAACGCTGAAAGTGTAGCAGTCCTATTTGAAATTGACATTAATAGGTCACATGTAACGCGGCATTACGGCGATATTCATGAGAGTGGTGAGGAAGAAGAGCTCATTATTGTTCCAGGTACCATTTTTCGTTTACAACGTATTGAAATAATCAACGGTATTCATCCAATGTGCAATACTGTGCTGTCAGATAAACAAAAACACGAAATTTGGCTAATTAAATTGAACTCAATCGATGAAAAACATCTTCTTGGCGAAACATTGACAATATTGTCCGAAACAAATACAATCGGGGCCGGTAATCCGGTCGTGATATGCTTGTTCCTCATTTTTTTCAAAGTCACCTGATGAAACCCTTGAGCAAGGTTGAAACCGGTTGCACAAAGAAACAAAAAATAAAATAAAATTGAATAATAAGTATTAAGAGATGGTGTAATAGAAATATAGACATCAATATAATAATTAATTGGAGTAAAAAACAAGGGGGAAAGTGCAGGCACCCAGCACCCAGCACCTGCTCAGCACCTACAGCACCTACCAGCACCTATCAGCACCTACAGCACCTACCAGCACCTATCAGCACCTACAGCACCTACCAGCACCTACAGCACCTGTTCGGCACCTATACTACATTTCACTATGAGCACCTACAGCACCTACGGCACCTGCAACCACTCTTCCATTATCTTAAGTACTTTTTCGGCACCTGGTAATAAAATTTAAAGGGCAGAGCCTAAACACGAAATTTTATTACCAGGTGCTGGAAAAGTACTTAAGATAATGGAAGAGTGGTTGCAGGTGCCGTAGGTGCTGTAGGTGCTCATAGTGAAATGCAGTATAGGTGCCGAACAGGTGCTGTAGGTGCTGTAGGTGCTGATAGGTGCTGGTAGGTGCTGTAGGTGCTGAGCAGGTGCTGGGTGCTGGGTGCCTGCACTTACCCCCTTGGTAAAAAAGCTTGTTAACGCAGCCTTATGGAGCTGGAATGTAGAACTTACATATACTCTGTAACCTCCTTAAACTAATAGAACATGGGTCAAGTGAAAAATATCTTGTAGACTATAGTTGGGGTGTGGGTGTGGCGGGTGTGGATGTGGGTGTGTGGAGTGTGGGTGTGGGGTGTGTGGGAGTGCGGCGGGTGTGGGGTGGGTGTGGAGTGTGGGTGTGGGTTTGAGTGTAGGACATGAAGGCAAGACATCCACACCCACATCCACACCCTGGAGGAAACAGGAGTGGACGGTGTTAAGCTTGCCTATGGCAGCAATGACTTTTATCATCCAAAGTCTCAGAGATACGACTACTTTACTATCTTGGCACTGATGTATGCTGATGACTTAGTGGCAATGCGCAATTCCTTACAAGATCTGGAGGAATTTATTTTGGCATTTGAAAAGGTCATACAAATGTATGATTTGACAATAAGTGTGAAAACGACTGTCATCCTGTCTCTACAAGGATTTGAACTTGATTTCAACGGAAAAATATTGAAGAATAAAGAAGTGCAATACCCAGACCACAACATCATCATCAGAAATCAAAAAGTAGAGACTGTCAACTCATTCTCCTATCTCGGTTGTATCGTTTTCAGAGATCTACGAATGGATTTAGAATTAGAATCAAGATTATTAAAGACAACAACAGCTTTTAACATATTGAGACATGTAATTTGGCATGGAAAGAACGTTTCAATTGAAGCCAAGTTAAGAATATTTCGTTCATGTGTGTTGCCGATTCTTCTCTATGAAAATGAAGTTTGGTCTTTAACGGTCATGCAAGAGAAGAGAATTGATACATTCTACATGAAATGTTTAAGAACTCTACTTAGTTTAAACTTAGAAGATCGAGTGCCAAATGAAAAATTTTTACAACTCTGTGGCCAACCAAAAATTGAAGAAATCATGTGTCGTAATCGTTTAAGATTGTTTGGCCATGCAAATAGTATGGAAAGTGCACAAAATGGAGCATCGTTGGTGAAGAGAGTCATGTATTCGTATTTTCCAGACAATAAAGGACCAAGAAATGTTGGAGTTCGAAAGAGATGGGAAGATAAAATTATGGAAGATTTGGAGAAATTCAATATAAAAAATTGGAGGAGAGAAGTGAATGACAGAGATTCCTGGCGTGAATCAATCAATACCAAGATGCAGACAACCAGAGTAAATTCAAAGATCAAACAAATTATCAGAGACTACAAAGAGAAAGCAGACAAGAGAAGATTAGATGAGAAGAAAGCTGCTCAAAGAAAAGCACCACGAAAAGTCACTGAAATACTGGTAAAGGATGGAAACAATTTGTACACATGTCCGAATTGTAAGAAGAAATTTAAACCGCAAGGTGTCACAAGACATATTAGAGCGTGTGTCACTAACTGGTGTAAGAAAAATAACGTGAGAAAAACGTAAAAGTATTGGAAACACGTCGTTTTTATTGTAACTGCTGGGAAAAATGAAGTGGTTATCTTAAACCAATGCGTTGGAGGGTTAAACACGGAAGATTCGGCAGACTCACGAAACGATGAAAATACAAACTGACTTACAAAGAAGGACACTATTATTTTTTCCTTTTTTTTATGTATCCTGTTTCTTTTTTGTCTCATCCTACACCTTTTTTTGGTATTCGAATATTACTACTACTACTTTTCTTGGCCATAAGTACTATAGATTTTATCTAGCAAGAAGTTAGAACTAAATCCAAGATAGAACTGCTCTATAGATTATTACAGACGAGACGTTATACTGTATATTCCCATAATAAAACATTCAATATTTACTGTTTTATAAAATTTTAAACATCGTGATTCGAATTTTTGGTACACCTTAAGTAGTATCATATAACATTTAGAAAATATAATAGATATATTATTAATATGTAAATCATATAATGTCTTATTTATTACATTCCGATCATTGAGCGATCATCATCAGAATAAGATGTTCATAATTTTATATTCTAGATTAAACGTTCGAGTTATAATTTCACGTTTTTTTTTTCTTAACATGTTGTTGTTCATCCAAGTTCATTTTATTGTGTAGATTGTATATATAATGAGTAATTCTCAACATAATTGTTGATATGTAATATGTATAAAATAAATATACAACTACCAATAAGGCATACAATATATTTTGTATTATTTCTTGTTGTTGTTGCTTGATCACTACCACGAATACCACGACCACTATTACTTTCATATGGATTAGGTGTAAGATAATATATTGTTTCTCTAAATAGAGAAATCCATGCTAAAAATAAAATTTGCGTTAGTATTAAACATTAGCAAAAATAACATGGTTATAAATGTTCCTCTCTATTTAGAGAAACAATACATTATGTTACACCTAATCCATATGAAAGTAATAATGGTCATGGTATTAGTGGTAGTGATCAAGCAACAACAACAAAAATAATACAAAATATATTTTGTGTCTTATTGGTGGTTATATATTTATTTTACAAATATTACATATCAACAATTATGTTGAGAATTACTCATTACACATACAATCTATACAATAATGTGAACTGGACGAACAACAACATATTAAGAAAAAATAAAAACCGTGAAATTATAACTCGAATCAACAACACTTCAGAATTAACCTTTTCTTGTTTTATCAAAACCACACATACACTGACAGCGATAAACTTTGAAACAGAAAGGCGTATTCTAAAAGTATCTTTATTTACAAAGAACATTCTTTCATCATGTTCCATTTATATCTTTCATGAGACAGTTAGCTGTCAAATAGAATGGTTGTCTTCTTAACTCTTTCAATCTCGACATTATCTTTCAGTCTGCACAACGCTGAAGAAAATCTCTATTTCATGTTTTGTTGCGTTCTGCTTTAGAAAATCAACTTCACAAGAATTCTAGCTTCATTATTTCAGTGTGAAAAATAGAGTTTTGCACGGAGAGATATCTTCGCTTCTCTGAATACACAAATAATAAATATCATGTAAGGACAACGACAAAGCGCAAAATTTCTTTTGTGCGTTCTGCGTATCATCTACAAGATGGCATATCAAATTGAAAGAGTTAAACTACTCTGAAATAGATGTGTGCTCTACAACCTGTCGCAACGTAATTGCTGTTTTCTATTAGACCTTTGATTGGACAAACTAGTGAACCAATTAATATTATCTTTTTTTTTTGTTTTTCTAGTACGTAAATTAAACATGCATGTCAACATAGAGACTTTGAGTAACATTTATTTCAAAAAATAAAAAGTTACCCATAGGTTGAGCACTTCACAACTGTTTTAACATTTTCTTTCCTTAATGGTGAAAAATAGAAAAAGCGTAGAGAATCACCTATCTACGAACTCTAAGGTATGTCGTATATGCGGCGCTGAAGCACGTGGTTTCAATTACAATGTTATTACTTGTATGTCTTGTAAATCTTTTTTTCGCAGAAATGCCTATAAAAAATTGGTAAGTTCAATAGACATCTATAAACAAAACAAATAGAATTTTTTTCTAAACAAATTGAATAGCTCATATCATTTTGTCAATTTAAAAATAATTGCAATATAACAAAAACAACACGTAATTACTGTTCATCTTGTCGTTTAAAGAAATGTTTTGCATTAGGAATGGATCCTAAATTAATTCGAACTGTTCCTGCGACTGGCAATGTCTCCAAGAATATCCAACATATTCAAACGATAGAGAACAAACAGATTAAGTTACCAACAGTAATATTATTTCTTCCATTTTCTTTGAAAATTATGTTTTTTTTTTCATTTGTTTTTGTACAGCCTTTACCACTTGGTCTTCTCCGAAATGATCGTTCAACGTTGACTACGAATGAATGGACTCTTCTTTCGAATTTTCTTCATTTATATGATGAGCAAAATCATTCCATACGAATTCAATATTCTCTTAATGAATTATCTTCATTACCACCAAAATTACGCTCTAAGCCATTGCAATTGATGAAACTTCTTCGCGAGCTCTATACAAATGTTGGTCCACTTATTGAACATACACCTGACTTTTATACTTTACACGTTCATGTTCGTCAGATTCTTATCAAACAAAATTTGTTCATCACTGGTTTGATGGGTGCACTTTTCGCTTGTCGTGAAATAAATATATTTCAAAATATGACTGCCATCAATGTTAGCAATCTGTTTTTTGGATTTCAATTTATGATAGAATGTCGTCAAAATATTGCACGATATGATCCAAATGGAAATCTTATTAAAATCTTGATATTCATATTAGCATATTCAAGTAATTGCTCAGTCGTTAAGTATCATAATCAAGTAGATATTTCATTTATGTCAAGCTCAATTAATCTTGTTCATATTCAGAATTTATATGTGACGATATTGTGGAAATATTTAGTTTATCTATACGGATTTAAAGAAGCAGTACTTCGATTTACTCAGCTTGTAAAGAATGTTGTAGATTTAATTGATTTATTCAACCGGAGACCTTCAAACGATATTCGCGACCATATGATTGATATGGTTGTAACAGAAACAGAACGTAAATTAGTGATAGGTGACTGACCTAAACTTTTATCAAGTTTTTACTTTGGCAATAAGATGCTTTTTATGTTAGTTCGTTTCATTATTATAAGTAATACGACATAGAAAAAAAAAATTCGTTGATAATTATCAATGTAGTGTTGTCGTCAGTATTTTAATGTATTAAATAAACTTTAAACTGAAAACAAAGAACAAGTATTCATGAAGAAATAAAACAAAATATAGAGAAAATATGCAACTGTTTTCTGTCGAAAAAAATGGGCTTTATTATTAAATATAAGACTTAGGATGGTAAACTTCCTATTGAAAAGCCAGTAGTGTCATACCTTGAATTTATCTAAAAAACAACAATGAACTTTCCAATAAATAATCCAGTTCAAGTCAAAAATTCTCAGCAGAACTGTAGTTAATGTATTTTAATGGAGTTTATTTGACTTTGCCTAGCTAGTTTTCATGCCAAAAACAATAATTGTTGATAATGATGTTTGAACACCAACTTTGAGACAAAAAAAATGGTATTTTCGGGTTTAAATGTAATGTTTGGTTTCAATACTGTCAGACTCATTTTTTTATTTGTAATACGCTTATTTTCTTTTCCCGCAGTACGCTAGAATGCTCTCTTTCAAATGATTCTTTTTTGAGCGTTACTTCATATATTAGTCAAATTAATATTGCGATGAGTATTTTGAATAAGAGTCTGGTAAAGTTTAGACAGATATCTTGTAGTGTCCACACTCAACAAAATATCATTGAAATAGATTTGTCCTAAAAGTAATGTTTTATAATATCACATAGCAGAATAAATTTGAATATTACAAAACAAAGAAATAATTATGTAAGAGAAAGGATTACACAATATTTTATTCAAATTTTAGCTTAGTTTCGATGTAGTTTCTCATTATCGACTTATTATCAAGTACGGTGAAACATGCTAATTGTTTGTTTCTAATAAAAGCTCGAGTATATATACATATGAATGACGTATTCTTTTGATGAACAATATATTTTAATGCATAAACAGGTTTTCATCTTCAGGAAACACAATTTGTCAGTAATATCGATAAAAACTATGATCTTTGTTCTTCTTTATATTTCATTCTATTTTTATTCCTGCATTAATGAAATTAACTTAATGTAGCAATGTGTTCATTGGTTCTTTTCTTTTATTCATTTTATCTATACTTAATGACCTAATAAGTACCATTAAGAAATTGAGTTTAAAAAAACAACTAAGATATATACATAACTATTATTGCATAAACGATTTCAACGGACATTTTTTTTTCTGCCTATGAAATACAAAGTTCTCTTGGGATTGATCTCAGTCATTGCTTTATAATATTCAAAATTATGTGTCAGATGGTGCTTACAGATATAAATAATGCTTTACGCATGTTACTCAAAAATGTTGGGTTTCACAAAAGAAAAATTCAAATACATTAATAAAAAAAAAGCAAGAAATTATGGAAAATGTGTCTAGTAAATGTTCCTTTTGTATGCCAATATGCATTTTTGCTTAGAAATGTCACAAACAATAGTCTTAGGAAACTAAATGACGAATTGAACTAAACTAACAAAAGAATATATCGAATTAGTGTCAGAGAATCATTTTGAAACGCTCTAATTTTGTTGATATCTCTACTGAAAGTTCAGTCATCATGACAGGGCATATCCAGTTAATCGGTCACTCATACACGCGAAAAGTTCGAATTTAAAAGTAAACAAAGTTGCATCTACCATTGAAAGTAGCACGATCGATAGTATTTGAAATAAAAGCGTTTCTATTTTTGAGCACCATTTAATGCTTTGACAAGCGAAAATTTTCTTACAGTGCCGAACTTGAAAATTTGGGCAAAACATAATATAGGAATACTTCTTCAATCAAGCATAACATCTTCGAAAGAAAAATTCATCAATAAGATGTTTATTAATAGAATCCAAACTAATTTTTCAGCATATGACCTTCGTACAAATGATAACGTAAACTACACCCTTAAATATTAGTTATTCTTGCAACAAAAACGACATCTTCAGAAACAATGGATCCATAAATACTTTTTCAATTAATTTTAAAATTGTTTCTTCTATAACAACAAGATATATCAAAGTCCTTTAACTAGATCATCATTGATTGAATAATGTGAATGATATAAAAAGAAGATTTTGCCAAAATTTGATTAGAAATTGTGGTTCTTTTAACTGTAGATTCTAATTATCTGACATGCTTTAAACTGAATATGTACATACTTATCATTAATGCTTTTGCAAAGGAGTAATGAGATTTATCAGTAGAAAACAATAAGATTTATGAATATCATAAGGTAAGATTGGTCTTTATCAATCTGTTGTTTTTTTATCACTTCCTGCTTGGAGATATAAATGATGATGAGTTTTTTCTACTGCTCTTTTTATATAGTATTAACGTTACAGGAAAGTTTATCGTTTTGTTTTTATTGGAGAATAATCGCCCATGGTGATTGTAAATGACTTCGATTATGCTCATTGTTGCTCTGTTAGAAAGTTCAAGAACAGAAAAGTTTAAATAGTAAATGAAATAATAGATATGAGACCATTGATCCATATATGGTATAAATACAAAAAGAATTGATTCATTGGGGAAGTCAATACAGTTGGATTACTTGAAAATAGCTTGTGATCGTGATACTAAAAGATGGGAAATTATCAACAGAATTACGTTCGTCATACTGCTCGATTTGTTACTGAATTTTTAAAACAAAATCAGATGAGAACTGCTTTGTTAATTATTCCAAAATTGGTTCTTAGATCGAGCTTTCAATAGCGAGTAGCAATATTATTTTCAAATAGAATGGTCGATAAGAGTAAAACATCTCATGCTGTGACTCAAGAGATGGCAGCAAAGTAAAAAGAGTACGCTGTTCTAAAGCCATCGATAATTATCGCCATGAAAAAAGATTACAGTTGATCGATGTTATTTTAAAATTCATAAAAATAAAAACATATATTTATGATTGGTTATGTTTTAACGACTGATCAAAAGATTATATCGAAGAGAACATTTTTCATCGTGTACCCAACTGATAAATTATATGAATGGATCGTTCAAAATCGAAATTATCAGAACAATCAAATTCGAGCACAGCATTAAAAATAGTAAAGAATATGAAAGACATCATGAAATATGTGAAATCAAAAGACGTATTGGAAGTTTTTTCGTAGTTTCACTACTAAGAAAACGTCAGGAAAATTAGCAGTAGATTCAAGTATTGGTGTGTGAGTACATCGAACTACTTGAAGTTAGATCAGTTTTCGTGTAAACTACTATTTTTGAGCATTGTGGATTAAAATCAATACAAAAGGATTTTTTCAATAAAGTACTTTATAGAATGATTAATGATGCAATGATAAGAAACAAGAAGATTTGAACATATTATGAATGTTTGAAATCACACTAGCATTACTTTTCGTCATTTTCTTCGTATTCTCTCAAGGATGTTTTCTGCGTAATAGACTACTAAAGGCTATTTTTCATCGTTTACAGATTGAGAATTTCAGAGATAGTTCAAAGAAACTAGGTCAAATGCTTCCTCAGTTTCTTTCATACGTAGAACACTCCAACATTATTAAATACTTTTCGAACGTGATATTTTTCCTACTCTTCAAGCTTAATATTACTTATTGCACTCAAGTTTCTAATTTCGTTTCGCATGTCTATTAATGTATATCTTTAATAAGTATGGCATAATATTACTATCTTGTACTGAAATCTACGCCAAAATGAAAATATTTAGTTGCACAAAAATCTGACACTAATCTTAACATAAACATTGGTGTTTAAATCCGTGAACTATGTGCGAATAATTTATATTATTATGAATATCAGATACAATATATAGTATATGACAATTTTTAAATGTATTTAATTAATTAAAATTTACTTTCTATCAACTATTTAATGGATTGTATTAGGATAATAAAAAAATTGATGATGAATTAATATTTATTTATTTATTATTCAAAGTATTGATGAGAAGTGTCTACCTCTTTTGTCAATGCATTCTTACTGTTACGTGACACTTTAAGCATATATTTTACTATTTTCATATCTGTTTGTTTCTCGTTTTTTTTTCTTCGTCTTTTCTTTTTCTAATAGTGGAAGGGCTGACAAAACGGTAGTAGTGAATAATTAAACTTACTTGTCCTTATCTTCCGTTCTACTATTAGCAAAAAAAAAACTAAGAAGCAGAAAAAAGAAAAATAATTAGATGTGCAAACAGTAAAATATACGCTTTAAGTGTCATGTAAAAATAAGAACAAATGGACGACAGAGACAGAAACGTCTTCAAAAGGTTTTCAAATAATAAATAAATATTAATTCAATATCAATTGAATTATAACTCTAAACATAATTCATTAATTAATTGAGAAGAAGTAAATTTTATGCTTGTTAAAACGTCATTCATATGATTCTTAAATGAAGCCATTCAATCGATGCATACAAAAGGAAAAGAATTTTATCGAATACCGAAATATCTTAAAAGAGTCTATTGTCATTCAAAAGAAAATTAAAGCTCACAGCACTTTGGAAGCTTTAGTAGAGCTTCAGATACACAAATTTGTTAAGATTATAGTCATTGGGTACATTTACAACCAACAGTCAGAGCATCCTGATAAGGATCAGATTTGTTCGACAACTTCCATATAAGCTAAAATTCTTCTATATAAGAATGAAATTTCACATTTAAAATAATCCTTTAGAGAGTCAACACTAGTCGTCAAGCAAATTCTCTCAAGACTTACAGTCAAAATGTCAATATTATGGCTTGAAACTTTATCGTTTTTTGTGTATTCAACAACTCCTATTGAAAATAATACCATTTGACAGACAACTTAATTCTGTATGTAGAGCAACTAATTAAAAGGCTAACACAAGTACAAGAGTGAATATCAGCAATAAATACTTGTATAATTGATTGAATTCTTCAATGAACGTAATGAGATATATCTGAGATCATGATCATGTTCTGCGTGCATCAAATCAGTAATGTTTCATATCATTCATATCAGATAAAGGAAAGTGATTATGAAAATTTATATATTTATCACTTTCAATAATTACTCAACGTTTTTTTTTTACAGAATGCTGATAGTATAATTACAATCAAATATTTAACGATCAACTAGGTCATTAGTTAAAGCTCAGCACTGTAAATATTAATTTGTGATGTATTTTGTGCAGCAACCTACAGTTTTTTCGAATATCAATATTCTGACAAATAAGCATATTATTTTCATTTTCTCCTTTGATAGAAAATCTATTAAACATAGTAAAACAAAGTATTGACTAAAATAGAAAGTTTCTTAAATACAACAAGAAAATCAACTTTTTACTTTTTTTGATGCGATAGCTACGTGAATAAATAATTGCAAACTAAGTTTAGAAGTAGCAATCGATGTAAAGATAATGAAACAGTTCAAAAGAAGAGTCGTACAATTGTCTGAACGCATCACAATTGATCAATGTTAAGTATAAAATCTTGTGTTATAGTATCACGTTGCATAACATTGAGATGGATGATATCTTTATTAAATTACTGCTGAATTGATTTGACACTATTTTATTAAAAGGACACTACCAACATCGAATTAGTGAGCTTTGCCGTAGATTCATACAATATATACATGCAGTACTTCCAGAAACATCTTGAATTGATTAAATTCTGTAAACTCTTTGATTTCCACAGTGATCTGAAGATCTAGATGTCTATGTTACGCATACAGTCGGAATTCTTTGAATTGTCTTTAATTTTCTAATTGTGGATGGTGGATGTAACTTTGTTTCTCTCAAAATCAAAGAGCTTTCGATGATAAAAGAAAATATACATGAGCAACGTATATTTAAAATCTCTCGTTAAACTAATATATGCCATTGTGATAGGAAAAATGAATTATGATATAGCAAATCGCAAACACAAGTTTATTACTATTATTATAATTATTAATTTTTTTCATGTCGGATTTTCGCATTGAGAAATCCACATTGATTCCTTTTTATTCTATATAACATGCTCAAACAATCCATCGAATAAACATAACAAAATAAACGAGTGCAGAAACGCAACTGTTTCGTGAACATATTGAAATTATTGCCATACCAGTTTTTTTTGCTTTTTTCTTTTCTTTTCTTTTCTTTTCTTTTGCGTCTCTATCGTCTCAGACTAATGGCTTTTTTAATGTTAGGAAAAGAATATAAGACAACAAAATAACACCGAATTTCAGTATAAATCAACCACTTTTATATGCTTGGATTAATGTACCCATATTCATAGAGTTATTTAGTATAAATTTTTATTGATATAAATATCAATGTCTTCTTGTCAATCAAAACAAAAAGACGAACAAATTAATTCACTAAATCAACATCAAGAACTATTACTTATCTCTGATAATCAACCAATAAAAAAGTCAGAACCTTTTCCATTTGGAAAATGGTAAGTTATTGAAGATTCAAAAATAATTGAAAAATAAAAATGAGATGGATTTTTTAGTTTAATATATCTGTATATCATGTTAATCTTCGTTATACACATATAAATATTTATGTTCTTTTTTGTAGCCTCATCTGTCATGATATAGCCACTGGAGTCCATTATGGTGTGATTACATGTGAAGGATGTAAAGTATGTTTCGTCTTTACTGTTTCATGTATAAATATAAGATGTATTTAGGGTTTTTTCAAACGATCAATAACCCAGGGTGTTTCAAATCAATGTTTGTTTGGTAATAAATGTATAGTTACTATAGGAACACGTAATCGATGTAAATCATGTCGATTTAATCGATGTATTGAACAAGGTATGTCAATGGATTGTGTCAAAATGGGTAGAATACCAAAAAAAGTCAAAGAAAAAGCATTACGTTATCATAAAAAACTTCAAGAGAAGAATATATATCATGAAATTGAAGACGAAAAAAAGAAAGTTATGATACTTTCACCTGATCTTGATTGGGATTTATCGAATCCAATAACTAAATTGACATTATCTTCATCCAGCAATAGTATTAGTGATAATAGACAATTATGCAATGAGAAAAGTCCAGGTATGTTTGTTGATTCTCAAGGTAAGTAAAATAAAAATTTTTAAAAAGAAAAGCTTATTATTTCATTATATTAGAGTTAAGTTCAAATACGGTTTGTTTAAGTAATATTGCAAATATTTGAGTTTGAATTCAAACTTTTGATGAGATTAAGTTTTATTTTAATTATACACTGTTTTCTTTTTTCTTTTTAAAAGCTCTACAATCTTCAAAAGAATCATATGATTCTATTGATTTAATTCAATTAACAATATCATTATCGAATAATTTTCATCATAATTTATCATTACTTCGTTTACCAACAGTTCTTTATTCATTAAAATTATCAGAAATTTGGACAAATTCAATGAAATTCGAAAATGATTTATCAACAGATACATCATTAGACAATAATAAAATGACTGTATCAAAATATATATCAAATATAAATGAAAATATTTTAATTGATTATAATTTTAATTGTGATATGCATTATTCAAAAAATATTCTTCATATAATGAAATATCTTTTACCAAAACTTTGTCAACCATTTCTCATTTTTGAATTTGATTTTGAAATCATGTCATTTTTTCGTTATATACGATGGAAAGTATTTAAATCGTATTTAAAACATACAAAAAGAGTACAAATACTTATTCAACGAATGTTTGAATTAACTAATTATGGTGTAAGTATTATAAAAGTTTATTGAATAAGTAATTAAATAAATTAAATATATATATATATATATTTTTTTTTTTCTTATTGAAGATTACAAATTATTCAAATAGTCATATAACATATGAACAAATGTGGAATGGTGTTCAAGCTGGTATAGGAGTACATGTTAATGAATTAATTGCTTTTGCACACGATGTAAATAATTCATTTTATGTTCGAGGTCAAAAAAACAACCTGTAATAAGATTTTAACCTACATAAGATTTTTTAATATTATATTAAGCAGCATTAAAAGAAAAACATTGAAATGAATCTGAGAATAGTAACATTTAATGATAAGAATAAATTGTCTATTCATAGAAATGTAATGAATGTTCTCTTTGTAATTTATCATTAGAATCTATGAGACTGTAAAAAAATCTTCTATTGAAGATATTTATCTCGTTAAAAAGTGACAAAACATACTAAGAAGTACTTAATCTTACTATCATTAGCTATAAACGAAAATGGATCGAATAGATTCAGAATTTATGTAGTTAAATTATGAATTTTCTCTAAGATTAGATTTCATTCATTTTAAACAAACGTAATCATCAAGAAGATAATTATTAAACATTGGTAATTCCTATACTTCAATATTTTAATCATATTATAAGATTTATTTCAACAATTTCTAAGATTTGAATAAAAACTTTACTTGTTATGAGCATTCCGAGGTTATCAGGTATTGGAAAGTCGATGACTCAGAAGGTCGATTTGAAGATTTTAGCTAAAATTGACCGGACGCAGAGGATTAGACATATTAGTCTGAATTGATGCGAGCGATAAAACTTTGTAGAAAAATGGAAACATTTCGAGATTGATGTCTCATCCTCTCGAAACAACTCTGATACCTGTTGATCTCTCATAATAATGAAAAAAGAAATTGGAAGTAGTGCAACAAATTGTCATTAGCTAGACATAAATCCAAATCTGCTTCAAATTTAATTCTGGCATTCCATTTTTAATAAACTTATTCTTTCATGATATAATGAGTTTTTCTATTTTCAGACGCCTGGTGTTAATGAATTAAATTTAATAGATTTTGTTCAAATTCTAAATAATCGTGTATTTGATTTTTGGATAGTAAGTTTTATGTTTATAAATTCAATAATTCATTTTCTACTTCAAGATATTAAATTATCCATTATTTTATAAAAATGAAACTTTTATAATGACACCCAATGGATTACAATATACACGCTATTTTATGAATAAATTTATTGGAAAAACGACTACTGATGCTTTGCATGAATTTTCTAAACGTCTTCATGCATTGCATGTAACACAAGTTGAACATAGTCTTATAATGACTTTAGTCATATGTCAACCAGATCAACAATTAAAAGACCAAGAAAATATACAAATTATTAAACATTGTTATATGTATGCATTGTATATTCAATTATGTTCAACAAGAGCAGAAAATGAAGCCAAAACATTATTTGATAATATTATTGAGGTTAATTTGAATTGTTTGACTTAATTTGATTTCCTTATTTTTTATGGCTTCGTTTTAGATCATTGATAGTATTGGTCTTCTTAGTGAGCTTTGCAAGAATAATATTGGAAAAATTGTACTTGATATACCGACATCCACTGAATGATTTTAATTATCATTTATTTGTTCTTTCCAGTCGTAGTAAATTAGACATGTGATTGATTTATGTATTTTTAAAATGATGAAAATACAATGAACAATATTGAGAAGTAAAACAGTAGAAAGTAGGGGAACATTTTAACAGCAAAAAGAAAAGACTTGATAAATTGTCATTCGATGAAATTTGAAAATATTCAAAACTACTCGATTATTTATCTGCTTATGTGATTGAAAAAAACATTAACAGAGATCCTTATGTTAAATTTCTGTGAAAAATCTCTTTACTTTCAAAATTCATGGCGATTTCAAATATGTCATTATTTCTCTCTCAAAATGCTTCGGTGATAGACAAAACATGAAAAACCATTAAAAACTAAGGTTTTTATAAAACCTGTATCTCAGTTAAGAAGCATTTGCAGTAACTGAGTTTATGTTTGAGATATAGAAGAATATTCTCTCAAAGTTTCAACAGTATAGATTAGCAGGAAAAAAGTGGCGACCAACACTACTGAAGACGTCTTTTTTAGAAAGTGCTGCTTCACTTAAGCAACTCGTGGGAAACTATATATAATTTATTGACTGATTATTTTTATTTTCCACATAAAACTGATGTTTTTCTCTCAAGGTACTGGAATCAAATCTTTCTTGCGGCTAAGTTTTTCCCATGAATTCAATAGTTGAGACCGGAGTTTTTTACCAAAAAAGGTTCTGTAATAAAAGTGTATAAGTTACTATTCAAAGCTCAAAAAAGCTCACTTTCATTGTTTCACCTGATTCTCAAGTTGTCGTTCACTGTCTATCGAAGACATAATTCGTATATTGCTTATTAAAAAAATTTTTAAGTCACTGTGCGGATGTCATTTTTTATTAACTTAAAAAAATATTATATTCACTAATCAATTTCTTCTATTTCTGCTATTGTTTCTGGCATATTATTCAAACAGTCTGTGTTACTTTTCGATGTAACTTTGTGCAATAAAAATGTTCCATTACTAAAAATTCTTGAATTCCAAGTTCAATTCTAGATATCTTGGATTTTCTTATTTTCATCAAGTCAAATATGATTCCTAAGCGAATCTATCACGTTATTACAGCAGTTCTCATACTATGCTGTGAGATTTATTATTTAATGAGTCGTTCTTGACAGATTGTAATCGCTTCTAGTAGTAAAAGATCATTCACATCGATGTTCGGTTTTAATGTTTCTCATTTGATTAGAATTTGTTATCTCTGCATTTTGTGATTGCATACGAAAAAAA